AGAGAGAGAGAGAGAGAGAGAGAGAGAGAGAGTTGCTTGTTAGAGGGGTAGAAAGATGGGAGGGAGGATAACGGGTCATTGGCTCTGGCCAATGATGTCTCAATCCACATTTTATTCAATGTACTACCAACAAACAAAGCCACATCCTACTTGCTCTCAATTCATTCATTGCGCTACGCGGGAGTGGTTTGCTGACCGTACCTTGACCTTCGAATGAAAAACAAAGGCCATGTGATGCGTGGCTAACAATCAATGACATGTCGTCAGCCCTGGAAATCCGGTCCTGGTCCCTATAGGATCTGTCAAGCCCAACCTGGTCCAAACTTTGGCAAACAGCCCTTTACCTACTCTGCAGCTCTGCCCGACTAGTACTTTTGGTGTCCAAAAGTCTTAGGATGGTGGGAGAATCTATTTTTATCTTTAATTATAAAATTTTAAACTCTAAAAATGCTTCAAACCAATCATATTATAAATGCATGAAAATATTTAAAATGAATGGTTTAGATAATGTGTTGCAAGATGGACTATTTTTAATATTAAATCAGGTGTAGCTTGAACTTTAAACAATCAAAGCAAAGTGCACCTCGAAACTTCATCAAGGGATGGAATTTTGGTGTCTAGAATTATTTAGATGGTACAATTATTAGTTCCCTGATCACTACAATCCTTAGATATATTCACAGCTCCGCCTCGAATCTCACCTTGCCCCAATAGATAATCAAATACGTATATGTAAAATAGATAAACAATGCAGTAATTTCTAACCATTTTATTGATCAATTTAGAAACAAAGAAATTTGATTTTGAATCTTAAAATTTAAGTGTGGCATCATTAGGCGATAAGATGAAAGCGAGTAGACTTAAGTGGGTTGGCCTGTAGCACAGGTGCAATATAACACATGTGAGGATGTATGAGTTAGTTCAAGTAGAAGGCTAAAAAAGGGCAAAGGGTAGGATCAAAAAGACATGATTGGAACTAGTGAGAAAAGATTCGGGAATTTATTCTCACTGAAAGTATGATCTTTAATATAACATAATGGCAGATCAGAATTCGTGTAGTCAACTTTAATTACTTAGAATAAGACTTTGACAATGATGATGGCGAACGGCTTTGAATCTTAACATCTCTACCCGAAGATTCATAAAGGTAGTCCATGCTAAATAATCACGAATGCCTTCTTCTCTTTTGAGAAAAATCGTGGCATTTTAATAAGAGACTTGCTGAGTGTGCCAAGAATAACATAATTGCGCCATTAGTTCCATGTGCAAGCCTGGAAAGCATTTTGTTGATGAAAGAAAAAAACCAAAATAAGTAAGGAAAAGGTTAGCCTCATGCTTTAATCTTTGAGATAAAAAGTAAAGTTGAAACCTCACTTTTTCAAGCGCCTACCGGAATAGAAAATATTCAAATTTATCATAACGATCTTGCCGGTTATGGTTCCGGAAAAAAAAAAAAAAGATTTCAAGCCCTAATATTAATAGTATATCTTGTATCATATATTCTGAATTATTAAATTTTAAGTGTTTGCAAATCCGTAAGATCAGCACTCTCTTTAGAACTTCAAATTTATCATGATCATAAATAAATTTTGAGGCCCTCGTAAAAAAATTTAGTGCGATAATCAAATTCTATAGTTTTTATATTACTTTTTGTCATGAAGCCGGATCCTCTACCATAAAACAAAAGAAAAGCAACTATTCCCTGCTATCAAGCAAAATTCAATGGAGATCTATCATTTGTGGAAGACTGGAACAACACATGAGAACCTGTCTCAACTCTTTCGTTTATTCCTTTACAATATTTCTTGATAATTGTAAGACCTTTTGGACATTTAGGTACGTATTGTGAACTTCAAATATTTTTATTGCCATCAGTATCACCAATTAGGTTTCGAACAGGTTTGGATGGACTACTAAATGAGATTTGTGTTATTGCCTTATGTTTTGTACGTCGGAACATACTGCAATTCATTTATGTGCGTTGCTTTTAAAACCCTCCTTTTCTTGCCTCTACTACCAAATAGTAGCTATTTGGTAGTAGAGGCAAGAAAACATAGAATTTACATTATAAAAAGTTTATATAAGGTTGCAATCTTAATTGTAGAAGTAAGATTAAAGTGATTTACACCATCCATTCTATTTGAAAGGTGTGGTTTGTATAAGGCTGATGCTCCAAACAATCGAAGGCGCACCTTAAAATAGTGTCTAAATATGTTTTTCAGTATTAGAAATCTTTGTGATGGCTTGAAACTTTATTTGCATAATTAATTATAAAATGTAAACTTTAAAAATAGTGTAGATCGAGCAGATCTGTGAACACCTAAAAAATATTGAAAATTAATAGTCCCTTTTTTCTCGTGTCCATACATCATGGATCAAAATGATTGATTTCATGATTTTTGAGCATCTAAATAACCTTTTCTAGTTGTATTTTGAGGTGTGCCTTAATTTAATTGTTCATAGCCTCACCTTTACAGAAACTTTTTCCTTATTTGAATGACCGTTTTCCTTATTCGCAAATAGGGCATTTGGAAATGCGCGTAAAATCTAAATTTCGTCGGGGCCAATGCTCCATAATTTATTGAGAATAAAGAAGAAAAAAATGGGGATAAAGTAGCAATGCTTCTGGTACATATCCAAGTATGGTGGTGTTGCATGTACTTGACTGTGTCTACACATCGAGTGCGAGTTTTCCTTATCTGCTGTGCCTGTGCTGAGTGAGAGAGAGAGAGAGAGGGTTCTTGTAATGTAGAGAGAGAAAGCGTCCAAGACAGTGAGAGAGATCCGAGGGGAAAAGCCGGGTTCTGAAAATAAGGAATCTTGACTGTGCTGGCATCCCAGGTTGCTTTGCAGTGGTTAAGTGTTATTTAAAAATAGAGAATTTATCAAAATATTTATGAGAGATTTACTATTTAATATTTGGAGAAGACCTTTTACTTTTGGTACAAAGTGGCTCCAATAAATCTTGATGATTGAATGCAATATTGGATGGCTGTATTTATTTCATTGATTTGGCTCAAAGTTCAAAATAAATTTTTTCGAACTGTGTGACATACTTAAGTTATCCACATAAGCTATCAAATTTCACATCGGATGGTTGTAAATAATGGTGACCTATCTATTCCAAAGATAAATGATGTCATATTCTAAAGATAAATGATGTCATTGTATATAATTTCTTGATATTTGATGCATAGCTATGATATATTCCCCTAGCAAAAACTATGATTATATTATGGAAGGGATTGGGTCGTGGTGGTAGTACACCCATACGTAGTCACCGTATTTTGGGTTCCAATTTTGCTGATATCACCTAATGACACCTTCAACAAAGCTAACTCCCAAAAACAAGTAGGGGCTGTCTTGTCCAATGAATTATCCAAAAAAAAAAAAGAAAAAAATAGAATACTACGCGTACTATAGCACATAATTTTTGACGAATATTGTTCACCTGGTTCATTTCGTATTATTTTTTCTAGGCACACAAAATGTGGTTTTTTGAAATTTGGTAGTTGGTCACTCAGTTGAAGAAATTATATGCCCAAAATTTTTGGTCCTACAAATGTTCTTAAAAGAGAGTTTTAACCGATGCAGCAAAAATATAAAATATGCTCTCGGGGGATATACACAACCCGTTGTCAAAAAATATTGACCATGCATACTATACTCCAGTGGAGCATCGATACACTTACTCAGTTGTATGGATGATCCCTTCAGGATGATTTTTTTACTCTGATTTTTTAGAACCAACCAAAAAACACCATATGATTATTTTCAAAAGAGATAAATTGAGTTTAAAGTTTTATAACACCCAAGACAGCACCCTTAAACAATTGGGCAATTTCTATTTAATCGTGAGACATAATTTTTTCAAGTGCATAGAGATTGCTAACTGGAAATTTTTTTAAGTGAAGTTGGTCTATGCGTTGAGGATGTTAATTCCTAAAAAATTGTGTGATCCTACTATTACTCCTTGACTAAGTTTTACCACTGGACAGTATACTCTCGCGAGACCATAAAATCTTTTGGCAAAATGTCAATTAGTACCTATAGTAGGTAAAACCATTTCTCAATTGTAGCTCCAAGATTTCGCTTGCTCCACGTGCCGTTACTTCATTTTATTCAAAAGTAAAGGACGATATTGACATTTTAAGACGTCAATGGCAATCCAGAAAACTTATTCAAAAGATCAGAGGACCTTTCTGTCATTTTACCATCATAAAGTCCCCAATTTTGGCAAAATCCGCTCTATTAGTCTACCCTAGATCCAAACCCTAGTCCCATAATTACGAAAATACCCACGAAAAGCACGGACCTGTACTTCTATCCAACCCGATTAACATCTGTCCCGTTACCTTTTTTGCTCTCTCTCTCTCTCAAAAATAGCAATGTTTCTCTCTCTACAACTCTCTTTATAAAATAACAATAACACTCTCTCTCTAAAATAGCATTAACTCTCTCTCTCTCTCTCTCTCTAACTCTCTCTAATAAGAAAATCTCCCACTCTCCTCCATGATAAGTTCCTCTCTTTGCGGTCAAATATTTTGGCCTTTCCCTCCCTTTCTCTCTCATCTCTCTTTCTCTCTCTCTGCAATTTGCTTGAATAAATTTCCATTCTCTCTCCATAAACTCCTTTCTCTCTCCTATTTCCCTCCACTCTCTCTCTCTCTCTCAGGCTCTCTCTGGTCTGCCTTCTTGCTACAACATGTAGTAGAGCCCTAGCCTTTTAATGCACTGATTTTGATTTCTTAGTCTCTCTCTCTCTACAATCTTTTCATTTTTTGCTTCAGTTTCTGGTCGGAGTTATTGTTGCCATGGATGCTGCAGCTGGTCCGTACAACCCTAGGACTGTGGAGGAAGTGTTCAAGGATTTTAAGGGGAGGAGAAACGGGATGATTAAGGCTCTCACCACTGGTGAGTTTTCCCTCAGGAAGTTTTTGTATTCTCTTATTTCTTGTGTTGGCTTTTTGTTCTGATTTTGTTTTGGTTTTTGGTGTTCCTTTACAGATGTTGAAGAATTTTATCAGCAGTGTGATCCAGGTTAGGGTTTTGTTTCATATGGTTCCTATGTATTTGTTTCCTTTTTCAAAATTTTCAAATTTGTATGCTTTTTAGTTTGTGCATGCATGTTTGTTGGGAGATATTAATCAGTTTCTAATTGAAAATGTACTCGGGGATTTTGTGTGCTTTGAATTTCAAAATAAACGTTATGAGTTGAACCAATTATAATTGTATTATGTACTAGAAATTGGAGGTATAATCAATTATATACTGCGCATTATTTGTGATGGAGTAATTTTTTGTCTTTTTTTTTTTTATGTTTGTTAAAGGTTTGTTTCTTATTCAACCTAAATTGATACTTCTGTGGTTATAACCCCACAATAGTCCAATTATACTGTTACAATATTCAATTTGTTACAATGTTCAGTATTGGATTTACTATTCAAATTGTTTTATGTTGATGGCAAAATACTAATTTGTTTTTGCAAATTCAAATTTAGCTTGTGTTAGGTTTTTGGGTTTGTGAATTTCTGTAATTTTTTCACAGTGTTATGTGTGTTATGGCAGATTTCGATGGACTTTTTTAGGTTGGTTTATGTTTCTTTAGGCTATTTCTTTCATGGTTTGGATTTTGACCATTGTGGTCTAATTTTTTGTTATTTGTTGACTTACAAGTAATTCGGTAATTAGTATTGCATGATATATATTGCATGATATATCGTTGTAAGTAATATATATTATAAAAAGGTCATAAGTGATGCCTGATTTTGCTGAAGGAACAATTGATATAGAATGAGATGAACCATACAGTTTTGTGCACATAAACTTCTTGCATTTATTTTCCTTCTTTGCCTTTTACTTGTTTTGCATTTTTTGCCTTTTAATCTTTCTGTATATGTGTTTTGCTTAGAATATTTGGTAAGAAAATTTACTTAACTGAAAACAAGAGTTAGGGTTACTAGAAGTGTTACAAAGAATAAAAGAGAGTTCGGTTATTGGAATTTTTTCTCAAACATGGCATAGGCTCAAATGGTCTTTCCAGCATTTCAGTTCTACTTTGAAAAGTTCTGCTTTATTATGGAGGTTACTACACTGAGACTGTGTGTTCAAGACTCCAATTGGTAAGTGCCAATCACAAATATAATGCTGAAGTGTATTAGGTTTGACATTTCTGGGCAAGCTTTCTCTATTTTCCCTACGGCATAAAGTTATATACTTCCCCGTATCCAAGAATGGACGGCTGAGATGGCGCCAATCACAATGTCACATATGTATACTATTTTATTTTTAATTTTTTTCTACAAATATTTTTACCCCAAATTTAGGGCATCCACTGTATCTTAAACTCACACTTGTAAAAAATACAAAAAAATTATTCCCAATAAAATAAAATAACCAAAATACCCCTGAAAGTTTCAAGGGGTATTTTGGTCTTATTTTTTATCAAAAATTCTTTTTGGTATTTTTTTTAAGTTGCGCCCCATTGTTGAGATGGCACGTACCAAATTTCATATTCATACATTTTGTAGAAAAAACTAAAAATAAAATACACTGAGGCATCGGATCTAGATCAAACAGTCAGTGGCTCACTTGATCTAAATTGGACGGCTGGATGGAGGGGGAAGTCTATATTTTCCATGCTATAGAGGAAGTATAGAAACCTTTCCCAAAAAAGAAAAAGAGAGAAAAAAGAAAAAGAGAGAAAAAAAGAAAAAGAGAGTTCTCAAGGCTTGTGGTCTTTCTAACAATGAATTTTTTTTTTTGAATTTGTTTTGATTTTCTTGTTTCATTGAGACATGCATTTCTAGTTGTTAGTTATTTCCTATACTCTAGAGGGCATAGATGAATGGGTAGTTCTGTTTTATAATACTAACTGTTCTATTGTGGCTTGCCTTCAGAAATTCATCTTAAATGAGGCACTTATGTAGGATGCATTAGTGAAGGTCCCCAGTGATCCATAGTCATGCTCATAAAATCCATTTTCTTATTTTCTCAGACATAGTAATTTTTGGTAATTCTAGAAGAATTTCAGAAGAGCACATGGAATTTCATGGAAAACACAATGGAAAGAATGCCTTGCAAAGGCTTTGAAATGTGTTCGACCTGAAATACCATACAGAATGAAGGGATCACATTTGAATTGCTTGATATGCCTGTCCAACGACATGTAGGAGTATGTAAATCTTGGGGGGCTGTGGGAGAACACGAGGCAAAAACATTTCCCATAGTAATTGGGAAATGGCATGATCCCATTTCACTTAATATGTCTTTTCAGGGGACTGGTTTTCTGAACTACTTTCGAGTTCGACATCTATGATTTAAACATCAATTTTTTGATTGTTATGTTTTAAAGAGCTTTGTAGATCATTGGCAATATTAGTGACACCCACTTTAATTTTCTTTGTTCCCCTCTCAAGGAAATGTCCCTTTTTTTGAAGTTATTAAAACCATAGTATTTGTATTGTTGCAATGTGCCACTTCATGCGTCTCTATTGTATTGACTAGTGCAGTCCATTTCGATCAATGATGTTGTCTTCTACCTGAATTTTGTTAACCTACTACAGTTGTAAGTCTTCCATTTTGTTAACCATTTCAGAGAAAGAGAATTTGTGCCTCTATGGATACCCAAATGAGTCATGGGAAGTTAATTTACCTGCTGAAGAGGTTCCACCAGAGCTCCCTGAACCTGCACTAGGAATCAACTTTGCAAGAGATGGGATGCAAGAAAAGGACTGGCTATCATTGGTTGCTGTTCATAGTGATGCATGGCTTCTTTCAGTGGCATTCTATTTTGGTGCTAGATTTGGATTTGACAAAAATGACAGGTATTACATATTTGAAGTCTAAAGGAATATTGCTTTATATTTAAAGCTTAACTTTTATTTCCATTTTTATTTATTTATTTATCTGTTTCATCATTGGATGTGTAGTCCAATTTTTTTTGCTGTTGTCCTATGGTTATTGCTTTTAACTGCATATTTTACTAGAATTCATATAATAGTTGTAAATATGTCTATGACTCTCTATGTTGCTGATTTCCTATATCTTACTTCTGTATTTCATGTCATAGACTTCTTGAAATAATTGTTGCATGAAGATTTGGAATTGAATAGCGAGGTAGACACATTTAAAATATTTGTATCATAATAGTAAAGCATGGTAGGGTAGAACAATGTTAAACATTTGTAAGCATATTCAGTTTGTCACCATCTCATATTTATGTATTTGAACCCCCGACTAATTTTTTCTCATAGTTTTTATCCAAATGTGGTTATGAATGTTTGAGAGCACCTTTGAATAATGAAAAGCGAATTTGTTATTTTGTTCTCCTTATTTCAATCTTGGCAATGATCTCCTCAATTGTGTTGGGTTACAGTCATTGAACTTAATTGACCTGTAGCTTTGGATATGTTACATAGGAAGCTTTTGAAGGCAAATTTCAACTTTTAATGCCTTAGATTATGTAATGAGAGAGTGCTGATGAACTTAGATATGTTTTAGATTAAGATATGATTTTTTGTTACACATGGACAGATTTTCAAAGGAATTGAATATGATGAATATCAAAAGAGATATACACTGGATTGTTCCTTGAAATGCTGCATGCGGACATACTGACATTGTGTGTGATCTCTATTTTTTTTGTATAATTTGCAAAATTGTTATCTTCTGTCCCCTATACTGGAAGTGCTCTCTTGTTCAATTGTTGTATGGATGCATATTTGAAATTTGTTTTTAGCATTTATTCATTTTTTTTACCTTTGGGCTTTGAGTGGTTCACTATTTCAAACTATATTTTGCTTCCTATGTTTTCCTAATTTTTCCCAGTATACTTTTCTATAGTTGCTATTACAATTTGAATGTGTGTACATGTTCCATCACTGCAGAGCCAAAAACCATGCCAGAGATTCCTGGCCTTGAAGTAGCGAATAGTATGAGGGGTCTAGACAGATACCCTTGATACCATTCCCTGAGAACTATGTGCTGTACCTTAAAGGAAAACCTGAGAACCTTACAGTAAAGCTCCATAATGGATCCCTATTCTCTGCTCAACTGTTACCTGAGACCCAAACTTATGCCAGAATTATTCTGTTCTTAGATTTACCCTTTTGACATCCCAAATCTTTATAGTTATCCTAGCTTGCAACTGTTACTTACCTGATTTTTCTTCAAGGATGAACCCTTATGTCTCTTCCTTGGTGTTTCTCAGGTAGTTTCTATTCAAATAGTGTTTTGAAAAAGGGTGACTTGGGCATGAACTCGAGCGAGTTACTTGTGCCTGGTCTGGGAGACTAAACCTAAAATCGGGGTATATCTTACCTGAATCCAAGAATTCTATGTATTTTTTATGTAGAGAATCACCTGAGGCAGGTGCTCTGACTTGGCCTCTAAATTGGGCTAGGGACCCTGGTGAATCTGAGCCTGAGTACAGGCCTTTAAACACTGTGTGGAATGGTCTTGTAACCCTTCAAAAGCTCCCAATTCCTCCACGCATCTAGCTTCTAGTCTGCAGCCCAAAATTTATTTCCTGAAGCCCTGAACATATTTCCCAGTGCGCTTCTCATTACCATATACATATGATGCCCTAAAAAATTTCTGCCCTCTACTAGACAAGGAATATGAATTAAAGATTCTTAGAAGCTCCTATTAACCTGAAATGGCTGCTTTTGGACGATCACTGTGTTATAATAGATGTGGTGTAATTGTTAATTTTTGCAGTGTCCAAATTTTCTTTTATTAGCTTACACCTAGGGGTGTCTTTAATATTTCTTCATATTTGAAAAGGTAACTTATGTTACATTTTATGGATCTTCTATAAGTTTCTAAGAGGTGTGGAGCTCTATTTAGTGTTTACAAAGGATTATTATTTTTTAAAGCTTGCACTATTCCCAGCCTTAGATAGTGTTTGGAAAGGATTACGTTTTTAGACCATGCTCTACCCCCATCTTCTCTGTGTGTTTGTATGTGTATGCTGGCACCCCCTTTTGTGCGTATGCATGTGTGGGTGTGGGTTTGTGCATGTGTGCGCACACTTGTGCGTGCATGTGCATGTGCTTGTGTTGGGATCTTGATTGAGAAGGGAGTTGTGTGTTTGCTGCAATGCTCTTGTATGTTATAAAATACATATATACTATGTACATGCATCATATGTATGCACGCAAACTTGTGTTCGAGGAATACTTGTATATGCTTAACGTGCTGGTGTTATGTCTTGTCGACACTGTTATTGATCCCAATGCTCTTGTATGTTATAAAATACATACATATTGCATACATGCATCATATATATGCATGCAAACTTATGTTTCTTGCATATTTGTATATGCGTAACATGCTGGTGTTATGTCGCGTTGACACTGGTATTGATCCCGGACACTGTTGGGATACTTTTAATCATCAAACGACAAAGCTATAAATAATAAATAGGCAAAGTGAAGTAGTCCCTTCTCCCTGGATTTGTGGTCCACATAGACCCTCGGGTTTACATAAACCCCCTCCCACTTTGATAGATGGGACCATTACCCCCTCACATTTTTCACGCATCAAATGCACTCTAACGTTCCTGTCTTTTTATGAATACTAATCCTGTCTATTCCCTCATTCTCTCATGAACTCTCTCTGTCTCTCTCCCACTTTCCCTCTCCCTCTCTCTCTCTCTCTCCACCATTTCCCCCAAACTAATATCTCTCTCCACTCATTTGTATACTCTCTCTCTACCCTTCATGCACTCTCTCTACCCCTTCATGTACTCTCTCTCTTATCCCAAAACCGAATCAGGGTGAGGGAGTGCTTCATGAAGGAGTAAAGAGAGGGCATGAAGGGGTAGAGAGAGAAAATCTCAAAATCTGTTTTTGGGCTAGGGTAGAGAGAGATCCTGAGATCATGGGAGGTGTTGACTTACGACCAGTGTTCAAAACAGCGGACCGCTCAGCGCCTAGGTGGTATAGAATTTGCCTAGGCGGCTGCCCAACGCCTAGCCTTGGGCGGGCTGCTCACGGCCTGCGCCCCGCCTATGGGCGAACCTTTTTTTTTTCGTTTCTTTTTATTTCTTTTTTAAATATAAAGGGTTCCAAAGGATGGGTTGTAGGTTCATTTGAAACCTAAACCCACAAGAACCCATTTTAGAGAGAAATAAACTTCAAGAAAACATCATTTTCTAACTTTTATTGGATCAAAGTGTTTCTCAAAGTTACAGAAAACGGATCCAAACATCACCCAGGTAGATTTGATTTAGTTTTGGAGTTTTATAATCCTATTAGAGGGTGTTTTTGATTATTTTAGCACCAGAAAACATCTAAGAGGTAGGAGTTTGGAGTTCGAGCAATCAAAGTAAGTGCAAAACTTTAATTTTTAGATTGCTTGTTTTATTTTGAGATGTTTTTTTCAGGATCTAGTCAAAGTGGAGATCCGGGTTGGAAATATGGATATAACCTGAATCTAAGACGCAATTTTTGTTAAAAAGATACAAAAGGGGGCGGTTTAAGAAACATCTTGTCGGTATTAAGGGGAATGTTGCCCCTTGTATAAATGTTCCTGAGCTATCAGAGAAGAGATTATGCAATATATGAGTTTTGTAAAACAAAAACAGGAACAAAATCTTGGTCATTTGAATAGATCTATGTTTGCTACTTCTAGAAGAAGTGATCTGGGTTGGAAGTATGGTTATAACCCAAAACTAACTTATAAAAATTGAATAAGGTGTAATTTTTTTTAAAAAGATACCAATGGGGGTATTAACCGATTCAAGAAATACCTTGTTGGTATTAAAGGGATTATTGCTTCTTGTAAAAAGGTTCTTGAAGTTATTCGAGATGAGATTAGACGACATTTGAATTTTAAAGAACCAGAAAATGATGAAAATGAGCCTTGTTCTTTGGGAATATTTTCTCCAGGTTCTTCTAGAAGTGGTAATCCGGGTTGGAAGTATGGTTATAACCCAAATCCGAATGACAAAAATCGTATTAAATGTAATTATTGTGGAAAGGATACTAATGTGGGCATTTACTGGTTTAAAAACCACCTTGCCAGGTGATGTTGCCCCGTGTAAAAATATTATTGACGCTACCAGGGAGGAAATTATACAATATTGGAGTTCAAGAAATCACAAAAAGATAGAAAAGGGTAGAGCAACCAAGACTTCTAAGGCCTCATTTGCACATACTAGTAAGAGGGAGGTAGAAAAAGAGGAGGACAAAGAGGCAGATTCAGAAGAAACAGAGGAAAACGAGCGTTATATTGAAGAGGGAGATGACTCTGATGATGATGGCCTTGATTCTGATGCATATGATGAAGCTTACTCTATTCCTTCTGATGATGATGATGACTGAAGAGTCTTGTTGTTGAGTGTTAACTAATGTGTCATAGTCTCATAGACTGTATATTTTTTGAATTTCTGTATATTTTCTCTTTCTTATTTTTCGTTTCTACTTTCTAGTTTCTAGTTCTACTATCTAATTTTTGTGTATACAGTCTACAGTGTATCAGACTATCAGTGTATGCTTGTATGGTTTTACAATTTTAGCATTGTATGAAAATATGGATTATCAAAAATTCAAAATTCTCTTCCTGACTTTTATCTTCTTTTTTTTTAACTGGGATCATGGTCTTATGGATTATCAAAATGCTTATGGATTAATCATTATTAGTCATCAGTTTGTTTTTTTTCAATTGGGCCTTAGCCCTCAGTTTTTTTTTTTCAATTGGGCCGCTCAGGTTTTGGGCGTTCGCCTAGGCGGCCGGGACCCCCATGGCCGCCTCAGTGCCGCCTAGCGCTTTTTGAAACACTGCTTGCATTAACAACTTGATGTTGTAGTGTTCGGGTGAC